CCCGGGGCCTAGACACTGGTGGTGGCAACAAGGCAAGGTGAATGTGAGAGTGAAGAAATTCTGAGGCGGAGGTGGGGAGGAGGTGGTTGCAGCTTGAAGTCCGTTTGGTGAGCTGTGCTCTGCTTTGCTCTTAAACGCTGGCTTGATTGACACGGCTGCGGGGAGTTGATTAAGACAGGCTGAGTAAGGCGTGGTCAAGCCTGGTGTGATAACGTAGGTAGTCTACCATACTGAACCTCCGCTTAAGCTCCATTTCAACCTGGAGAGACTACAAGAGACGAGATGCGTTTAAGAGTTGTTTATTTTATGGATTGAGTTTGTTTATTGGTTTGGAGCTTAGGCCCCGGCTGTGGCCGTGCTCTGAAGAGATCTGCGCCTGGGTGCAGATCATGATCCCCAAAAAGAGAGCTTGGCTAGCGATGCGTTTGCCATGACTTGGTTACTGCGTTTATGGAAGGCGCATGGTGTGAGTGACTGTTTCCGTGCGCGAGCTCGGCTCTAGCGCTAGGCGTTGGCACGCGCACGAGCTCGGCTCGAGTGCGCGGCGCAATGTCCGGGCGCGAGCTCGGCTCTAGCGCTAGGCGTTGGCACGCGAACGAGCTCGGCTGGAGTGCGCGGCGTAATGTCCGTGCGCGAGCTCGGCTCTAGCGCTAGGCGTTGGCACGTGCACGAGCTCGGCTCAAGTGCGCGGCGTAATGTCCGTGCGCGAGCTCGGCTCTAGCGCTAGGCGTTGGCACGCGCACGAGCTCGGCTCGAGTGCGCGGCGTAATGTCCATGCGCGAGCTCGGCTCTAGCGCTAGGCGTTGGCACGCGCACGAGCTCGGCTCGAGTGCGCGGCGTAATGTCCGTGCGCGAGCTCGGCTCTAGCGCTAGGCGTTGGCACGCGCACGAGCTCGGCTCGAGTGCGCGGCGTAATGTCTGTGCGCGAGCTCGGCTCTAGCGCTAGGCGTTGGCACGCGCACGAGCTCGGCTCGAGTGCGCGGCGTAATGTCCGTGCGCGAGCTCGGCTCTAGCGCTAGGCGTTGGCACGCGCACGAGCTCGGCTCGAGTGCGCGGCGTAATGTCCGTGCGCGAGCTCGGCTCTAGCGCTAGGCGTTGGCACGCGCACGAGCTCGGCTCAAGTGCGCGGCGTAATGTCCGTGCGCGAGCTCGGCTCTAGCGCTAGGCGTTGGCACGCGCACGAGCTCGGCTCGAGTGCGCGGCGTAATGTCCGTGCGCGAGCTCGGCTCTAGCGCTAGGCGTTGGCACGCGCACGAGCTCGGCTCGAGTGCGCGGCGTAATGTCCGTGCGCGAGCTCGGCTCTAGCGCTAGGCGTTGGCACGCGCACGAGCTCGGCTCGAGTGCGCGGCGTAATGTCCGTGCGCGAGCTCGGCTCTAGCGCTAGGCGTTGGCACGCGCACAAGCTCGGCTCGAGTGCGCGGCGTAATGTCCGTGCGCGAGCTCGGCTCTAGCGCTAGGCGTTGGCACGCGCACGAGCTCGGCTCGAGTGCGCGGCGTAATGTCCGTGCGCGAGCTCGGCTCTAGCGCTAGGCGTTGGCACGAGCTCGGCTCGAGTGCGCGGCATGCTGGAAATGAGGAGTTGCCACCACCAGGAGATGCATACGTACTTATAATGAGAGGAGGCGCTGGGCTGCCAGAACGGATGAATGTGGTAGAGAACCGGGGACCGAGCTCCTGGAGAGATGATTGAGGGAGTCCCAGGGCAGCAGTCCAAGTGGCTGCTCCTATCCGGAAGGAGTGCGGGTGTAGAGAAAGGAAGAGAGGTTACATGCAGGGAGCAGAGGTTTTGAATTTGTTCAGACCAGGGGGTCGTCGAGGGATTGTTTAAGGAGTAATTATAGTCTATGAATGTTGATAAAATGTCCTTAGATGTTGTAGCATGTTAAAGTATCCTGGATCATCACCACGGGCCTTCTAGTTGGACACTAACTGTCCAGACCCTCCTGCATGGCAAGGAAAACTCACAAAACCCCGTGGGGAAAAAAGTGAGAAACCTTCGGAAGACCCTACATTGAGAGAGGGAATCCACTCCACGGACAGACAGGCTAGTCGTCCAGGACCTAAACTACAGAACAAGGACCATTGCCAATACTCCTTTAAGGATCTTCTTATGAGGGTGGAGCAGTGTGACTCGAAGTGGATTTTAGAGAATGTATTTAATGCCGATGTAGATGAGGCAGTGACGGCAGTACCCGCGATGCTGATGTCCAGAGACTGAGAGTGTGCAGTGAGAGGGAAAGGAGAATGCTGAATGAAGGATGAACTGCTGGTGTTTAGAGCGCTGATATTCGAACATGATTCCACTTGGGGAGACTAAAAGGTGAAAATGAGATTCATGAAGTACACTTACCCAGGAAGATTGATGTTCGATAGGAGATCTCTGGACCCCCAAAAACCAACGCACAAGGGCCCGGTCAGAATGAGGGCCAGGGTGCGTCAGGTAAGGCGAAGCGTGAGACAGGCCCGGCGGCAGGAGCCGCACCAGGAGACCAGGAGAGAATATGCCTGGGGAACATGAGAAGGAGCACCGCCTACAGCCACTCAGAGTGCACGCAAACCGTGGCGGGCAGTGCTGCACACCAAAAGCCAATGAGTGCGGCCTGGGGAAGATAGCCGGCCAGGTTTGAAGGCCACGCCGAACAGTACTCATGCAGTCTTAGCGGCCAGCGTTGCAGCAGGCCACCGTCGCGGCGTTGTAGCAGAGCTTTGGTGCGGCGTTGCGGCATCGCGTTCCTGCGAAGCTGAAAAGAGAAACCTCGAACCACTATCACTCGAGTGAAAAGGACCAACGGGCAGTGTCAGACCACGTCTTCAGTCAGACCACGTCTTCAGTCAGACCACGTCTTCAGTCAGACCACTGACCTGATCCGTCGATGCCGGCTCTTCCCGTCATTGTGAAGCAGAACTCCAAGCGTTGGATTGTTCACCCCCCAATAGGGAACGCGAGTCCATGGTCGACACTGGTCCCACGATGAATGGATGAGAGCACACGAATGCGTCGAAGCGTGGCGTCGAGAATGCGGCAGGAGGCGGACACCGACGTGGCGTCAAACAGCGGCCACCGGCGATGAAGCGTGCGGCCGCCGACGTGCTGCGATGAAGCGTGTGGCCGCCGACGTGCTGCGATGAAGCGTGCGGCCGCCGACGAGCTGTGATGAAGCGTGCGGCCGCCGGCGAGCTGCGATGAAGCGTGCGCCGTTGTTGAAGCGCACGGCGTCAAAGCGCGCGGCGTCGTTGAGGCGTCGTTGAGGCGTGCGGCGTCGTTGAGGCGTGCGGCGTCGTTGAGGCGTGAGGCGTGCGGCGTCGTTGAGGCGTGCGGCGTCAAAGCGTGCGGCGTCAAAGCGTGCGGCGTCAAAGCGTGCGCCGTGGAGGAGGAGTCAAAGCGTGCGGCGTCGAAGCGTGCGGCGTGGAGGAGGAGTCAAAGCGTGGCGTCGTCGAAGCGTGGCGTCGTTGAAGCGTGGCGGCGTCGAAGCGTGGCGGCGTCGAAGCGTGGCGGCGTCGAAGCGTGGCGGCGTTGAAGCGTGGCGTTGAAGCGTGGCGTTGAAGCGTGGCGTTGAAGCGTGGCGTTGAAGCGTGGCGTTGAAGCGTGGCGTTGAAGCGTGGCGTTGAAGTGGCGTAAGGCCAGAGCACTGGGCAAATGAACAGCACAGAGGGGCTCGGCCGCGCTCCGACCAATCAGATCAATGCAGTGGACAAAACTTACAGTCCACGGTCAATTTAGACAGAGCGAAGGCCAATGCAGACGACAAATGTTATAGTCCATGCACTGTAATAAATAATATGGTAGTTCAACTTAAAAGTCTTCGTTGAGTTTCTGCCATAAAATGTTGAGCTCATTGAAACAATATTGGCACCTTCAATCAACTAAAACAAGCAAGTTATAAATGGTTCATAAATCATTGCTAGAAATTGTTACAACACAATAGTTTTAGTTTAAACCAACTAACATGTTATGTTGTGCAAACGGTAAACTTATATTGCTTCTCCATATTAATTCAAGTGTATGCGTTATTTAAACTCACAAGCCTAAGTTGAAATAATTTTTAACTTACGATCTGATGTCAAAAGAAAACAATGTTTTGACCTCGTTCAACATATTGGGTCAAGTTATGAATGAAATTTAACTCACTCAATGCAGTTAAACGCAACCAAATATATTTGCTACTTGTACACATAATACTAAGTTTTCAATATTGGCACCGCTTACAGTCAAATGTTAGATGAACGCAAATGTTTATAGCAGAAATTGTACAGACACTTTTAAGTTAAAGGAATGTCTACTTGTGATTTCTATTGACATGCAAAAATAGGTTTTGTAGATAAAATTCACAATCAAGTAGTCACAGCGTTTATTTTCCCTTTTTATTTCCAGAAATGTAAAACATGGAACAAGTGTAATAGCAAATACCATATTGCAAAGCTATCCAGTTTTTTTTAAAACATTTCAGCTAACACATTATGTAATTCCATCTTGTACTTGTGTAGGCTTGTCACAATAGTTACTATTTTGACTTATTCAATAATGGGCTCGACATGGTCATTACATTAATATTTTTGCTAATTTTATATATTTTTTAATTACTATAATCCTTTTATCAAAGTAAATTTTGTCATGTTTCTTGCAACTTGTGTTATCAAATATTTGTTAATACATAGTTTTATAACGAGGGAATACTGAGACTTCCATTATTAAGTTCAGTTCATTATCCAGGGGTGTCAAGTGCTCCTCAATAATTATCGCAATATTTTGTAGCCTCAACATATTAAACTTCAAAAACGTTCTTATTGTGCCAGGCCTACTTGTGTTGTACACATGCTTGAAGGCACCCCTGCAGTGCCTCTGAGGCCACAAAAGCAGGGATTAGAAGAAGTCAACAAACTTTCAAAGAAGAGCCAATTAAACAGGCCTACTAACAAATTTGAAGTGTCCAAAATGGCTCAAAACAATGAGCAACAGCAGGGAAAAAAGAATACAACAGCATTTGACAACATAGATTAATTTACATGTTGTACCTCAATATTTTGTTGCGCAGTCCATGTATTCTGGCAGAGGCCTGTTCGGGCTTGATCTTCATGACCACCTTTTGGAGAAACTCGAACGTGTACTTCATTGCTGATGGGTATTCCAGATTTACAGCATAGATGATACCCATCAGCATTGCCACACCACATGCTACACTCTTCTCATGGTGAATCACTATGCTTTCTTCCACAACGACAGCAACATCAAAGACCTGATGTGGGACCGCATCCTGCTCCTCTTCATAGGCAATCAGGAGTCCAAGTTCCATTCCCTTCAACGCTTCATCCAGATGGTCAGAATGGGCCTAAATAAAAATGAAATTAGATGCTGTAGATGTCGTTACATTTTATTTATTGGTTTCTTTGGTCGAGACAGTGCATGTTAATGAACATACATGGTTCTCATGCATGTAAACAAGCCACACCGGATTGTAGCCTTGGGCTAATTTGCGTCCGTCGTTTTAGAAAATATACTTTGATTTCAGTAAGACTGAATAAAATCTATTACATGTCTATAATGAATAGTGTTAATTACCTCTGTACAGTTTGCCAAATATTATTTTAAATACCATACATTACTCTAAACAGGTTTCTAAATGAGTTGTAATTATTGACGCAACTTAATTTGGATAAAATGTATCATACTCACATCACACAGCCGGAAAACATTGGATGAATCTTCTTTGAGGTAGAGTGGAAGTCCCAACAGAACAGCTGTCCTCTTCCTCTCATTTGTGTTCTGTAAAAGTTAAAAAAAGTAGTTAATGACAAACTTTACTTCAGTTGCTTAATTTATTTCATCTTTATTTAACCAGGAAATTCCCACAGAGATTAAGAATCCCTTTTTCCTGGGGAATCATGGCCCCAGAGAGGAACCTACTGTACATAATTTTAGTGGTTTTGGAAACCGGAGTACCCAGAGAAAATCCACGCAGACACGGGGAGAACATTCAAACTCCACACAGAAAGACCCCGTCCAGGTGGGAATCGAACCTGGGATTTTCTTGCTGTGCAGCATGAGTGTTCACCACTGCACCACCAAAGTTGTATAGTTGTGTTACAAAAGACATGCCACCAAAACATTGTGATGTCAAAGAATATATAAAAAAAAAAAAAAAACATTTTGGAATCAACCCAAAGTTGGCTCTAATGTGCAAAGTTGAAATACCTCAAATTACTCACTTACATTTTTCAAGAAGCTCCTGTAAGAAGCGAAGGAGAGGAATACGTCTTCATTCAATAACTAATTTTTGAATATCAGTGGCACTCCATGAATCCAACATTTTGTTTGAGAACACATTAAACCGATCAAACACAAACTACACTGAAATCAAACTAGGGCTATGCAATTCAACAACATTGAATTGAGGACTTATTTCAATAATCCACATACTTTTAAATTGACAGATCTACATTCGAATCCTGTGGTAGTTCTAATAATATTTAGAGAAGTTTGGACATTGAGGAATATAATGTGTCGAATAATTCTGGGTTGCAAAGGATTCATAGGTTTAATCTTTTTTTTGTATTTGTAGTAATTAGTTGAAAGGAATAGGCCACCGTTTTTCCATACTGAGATATGTGCTAACCTTAGACGAGTTCATCTGTACCTGTCTGGTCTCCACGTGTTACCTTCAGTCACGTAAACACAGCACAGACGGCGTTAGCATTAGCCTCTCTCTTCTCCTCTATAGCTCCAAACGAGGTGAAGATAGAAGCTACCAAGCTCTTTCACGTTTTCCCTATTTAAATATGGTTACGTGAAGTGTTACACTATAAAGTATAATTACACAAAATTAAACAATGTTGGTTTTCTAAGCAAATAAAAAGGGGAACTATATTGTAATAATACCAGGAGTACTTTGGCGTCCGCACAGTAAAGTGAAGATATTACTGCACAGATGTCGAAATATTCCTGGTGGCCTTACAATATAGTTCCCCTTTTTATCCGCTTAGAAAATCCACATTAGTCCATTCCATAGGAAAAACGTGGAAGTGTTTGGTAGCTTCCATCTTCACCTCGTTTGGAGCTATAGAGGAGAGGAGAGAGGCTAATGCTAACGCCTTCTGTGCTGTGTTTACGTGACTGAAGGCACACGTGGAGACCAGACAGGTACAGATGAACTCGTCTAAGGTAAAAACATATGTCAGTATGTAAAAACAGTGGCCTATTGCTTTAAAAAGATGCATGCTTTCTTGTTATTTATATGAACAAAGATGGATAGAACAACCTAAATATTTACATAAGAGTAGCATTCAAAAAATTTACTTATCGTGGCACAACTTCCTATATTTTTTTACTCAAGAGTACAGATACTACTAAGACTACTTACAAAAGTAGAGTTACTTCAAAAAACGTACGTACATGTACAACTGAGTACTACCCATCTCTGCTTAGAGAAGTATACTTACATCTTTCTCAAGGGAGGTCAGAATGGCACCCAAGGAGCGGCACCTTCCAGACTTGCTTGAGGATTTGTAGAGTTCCAGCAGTCGGGGTACAAGTGCATCGAGGCCATCGAGAAATGAAGGTAGCAGTTCTTGGGCAGTAACTCGTTCGAATTCAGCTCTTATCTAGAATAATACAAAACAATTTATGCAGGGCAAGCACACAAAACAGGAATTTTTCAACAGTTACATCACTTGTCTTTCTTGAAGCAATGCCGGCCATCGGTTGCGAATTTCTCTTAGTAGTGGTTCATCACCTACTATCTCTCACTCCTTCGCTGGGCAAATGTTGACACCATCAACTCATCCACCATGTCACGATCGGGGATGGTTTTAAGCATTTCCCTCTCCATCTTCATACGGTTCTCCTCCGTTACTTCGACACTGTCACCTTGTTCTGGACAAAAGTGAACTTGGCCTTTTTTTGACTTTTTGACTTTTCTTTTTGCCTCTCCTCCTTTTCGCTTATTCACAACCACTTCTGGAAGTCCAGCAACTGCCAAGTCACGACGGAAGTTTCCAACCTTATATTTAAGCTATGGACCCACGAATACCATCCCGCTGCAGACCCAGGATTCGAGGAAGCCCTGCAATAAACAAACATAGTAGCATAAGCTAACACTATCGCTTATAAATACATGTACAAAATGCAGTGGCTTGAAACAAATGTAAATATAGAAAACATAACTTACATAAAAACAAGAACAGCACGCTAGGGTTAGCATCAGGAGGGTAAAACTTTCAATCCTGCGGACCCTCGACTCACTCGCTGATCTCAACCAAACCGCTAGCGGCCTCTAGTGGTAAACTCTTCATCCCCCCCAGTCCGTAAAGCTATTAAAATATATAAATAGATAAACTGACTCAATCTTGTATCCAACGGCCCGACTCAGGCTCATAACGCTTGGGAGGCCTACGGGGGCGGCCCGGAGGCGAGGGCGGCAACACGTGGGACGGCGACATGGGGGGCAACATAGCGGGGGCAACAACCGCAGGATCGGGGCCATCATCCACTGGCGAAGCATCCGGAACAGAGACACAAGGTCCAGCCACCTCTGGAGCGACCGCCTGTGAGACCGCAGGGTCTGGGAGGATCGGGCGGGGCCGCTGATCCAAAACCACGGGTGTCCTCCATAAACTCCTGTGTTTTGCTAGCGGCAGCCGAGTGCATCCAATTTCTAAAATCAACCGTCTTACACTTCACCTCTCTTTCTTATTGAAGAAAGAGACTCCTCTATGTCAATTTATGTTTTAATGACAGAGATGAGGAAGCCCTGCAATAAACAAACATAGTAGCATAAGCTAACACTATCGCTTATAAATACATGTACAAAATGCAGTGGCTTGAAACAAATGTAAATATAGAAAACATAACTTACATAAAAACAAGAACAGCACGCTAGGGTTAGCATCAGGAGGGTAAAACTTTCAATCCTGCGGACCCTCGACTCACTCGCTGATCTCAACCAAACCGCTAGCGGCCTCTAGTGGTAAACTCTTCATCCCCCCCAGTCCGTAAAGCTATTAAAATATAATAGATAAACTGACTCAATCTTGTATCCAACGGCCCGACTCAGGCTCATAACGCTTGGGAGGCCTACGGGGGCGGCCCGGAGGCGAGGGCGGCAACACGTGGGACGGCGACATGGGGGGCAACATAGCGGGGGCAACAACCGCAGGATCGGGGCCATCATCCACTGGCGAAGCATCCGGAACAGAGACACAAGGTCCAGCCACCTCTGGAGCGACCGCCTGTGAGACCGCAGGGTCTGGGAGGATCGGGCGGGGCCGCTGATCCAAAACCACGGGTGGCGGTGAGCACACAGCAGTCTCCAACCGGGAACAAGGGGTAACCGGGGTGAAGGCGCGAAGGCGCGAAGGAACCGTCGGTTGCGCAGAGTCAGGCGACCAGACCCATCGACCTTGACGCGATACTGATCGCACCCCAACGACTCCACAACAACACCAGACTTGTCCCACTTGTTGGGGCTCGAACCCTGCTGATTCTGGAGGAAAACTGTCTCACCAAGCGCTAGTGGGCGGAGCGGCCTCGAGTGGGCCCGGAGGGACTCAGTAGTTCGGGACATCCTAGCACGGAGGGCATCCTCCCTCGCCACCCACGCCTGGCGCCAGAGTGGCCGGATATTTGGGTTAGAGTACTTCTCCAGTCTGTTCACGAACAAGAGCGAATCTCGAAGGGGGCGGCCGAAGATGATCTGAGCCGGTGAGATATCGCAGTCCGGGTCCGGAGTGTTGCGCAGCTGCAACATGGCACGTAGAAAGCGGTCGTGGTCAAGGCTGCCAGTCGGGCCAGTGTTAGAAGCCAGGAGGCGCTTGGCCGTCTTCACCGCCACCTCCGCTCTCCCATTGGACTGGGGGAATGCGACGGAGGACACACGATGCCTCACATGCCACAAGCGGAGGACGTTCTCGGTGTGGCTCGCCATAAACTCCGGGCCACCATCGCTCGAGAGTTCCTCTGGCACACCAAAGGTTGCAAAAAATTCGCGGAGGTGGCGGACCAGGCCCCTTGAGCCCCCCAGATCGGACCCTGCTGTGGAGCTCAGGACCTCCACCCAGCCTGAGAGACGGTCCCCAACCACCAGGTAGTGTCGGCCACCATAATCAAAAAAATCAGCGAAAACCGCCTCAAAAGGTGTGGACGGAGGAGGGGACCACAGGGGTGGTGTGGCAGCTTGCGAAGGGGCATTCCGATTGCAGTCCGCACACCCATTCCTGGTGGCCCGAATATCCTTCGTCATGCCCGGCCAATATACTATGGCGCGTGCACGCCGCTCCATCGCTGAAGTACCTTGGTGGG